AAAAAAAAAAAAAAGAAAGAGATCTTAATTTCTACTGCCAAATTTCAGAACTTTTGATGATTTAACATGTAAGCACTGTGGCTTACACTTGTAATCCTAGCTACTTGGGAGGCTGAGATATGGGAGATTGAAGTTGGACGATAACTCCAGCAGAAAAATCCAAGAGACTCATGTGTTAGAGCACTAGAACTGAGTAAGCAAGCAAACAAGTTGAGCAAGTGCAAGGCCCCGAGTTCAAATTCTGAAACTACCAAAACAAAACCAAAAAGTAAATGACTAGCAAGAAACACAAAGCTAATAGCCTTGTAGAAAGACAGAGCAAACATCAAAATGACTGCCCAATGTTGAAAACTTAATAGTAAAGACATTTCACATAGCAGCAGGTAATGTGAGACTTTTTTGTTTTTAAGTAACACTTGTTGGTAAACACCATCATATGGCAGTAAATAGTTTTAACAAAACATGTTGACAGTTGTAATTCCTGCCTTAGCATATTCTGATTTATAGACATAGACAGCTATGATATAAATATAAATCTATGTATAGATAAAAGACCTGGACATTCAATTATACCATAGCCAAGAGGCAACATTACTAAGCCGGGTGCTGGTGGCTCACACCGTTATCTTAGCTATTTTAGGAGGCTGAGACCTGAGGATCTTTGTTCAAACCCAGCCTGGAAAAGAAAGTCCAGGTCTTTTATTTCTAATTAACTCTTATTTCTAATTAACCACCAGAAAAACAGAGTGTGGCTCAAAGTGGTAGAGTACTAGCCTTCAGAAGAAGAGCTCAGGCACAGTGTCTAGGTGCTGGGTTCAAGCCCTACAACCAACAAAAAAAAAAAAAAAGAAAAGAAAGAAAAACACGAGCTCAATTGTCAATAGTGTTTATTAGTGAAAAGAATAGATTTATAATCAAATACAAAGTTCTTTATTCAAATGGACTAAATGACAGAAAAGGCAACTAACTAAAAGGCTTTAGAGAAAATAGATATACATAAAAAAATCTTATGAGGGGCTGGGAAGATAGCTCAGTGGTAGAGCGCTTGCCTTGCATGCCTGAGGCCCTGGGTTTGATTCCTCAGCACCACATAAGCAAAAAGAAAAAAGCTGGAAGTAGCACTGTGGCTCAAGTGGTAGAGTGCTAGCCTTGAGCTGAGGAGCTGAGGGACAGCGCCCACGCCCAGAGTTCAGGCCCCACGACCGGACCAAAAAAAAAAAAAAATTCTTATGAGCATTTGTTCAATATATAGGACACGTATCAAATTGTATGTGATAAATACAACAAAAATTTAACAAATGTAATTCTTTTAAAATAATGTTTAATAAACATTAAAGAAATAAAATATTTTTTGTTTGTTATGAAAACAAGTCTTACCTGGTTGTTGTGAAAGTGAAACATCAGATTTACTTTTGACATGTATTACACGACATTGTACTGGCTTGTGTTCATCTTGTTTAACACCTTGGTCTTTCTTAGTCTGTTGGTACTGTTAAGACATGAAGCATTAAGTTAAAAAAATTTGAGTAAAGTATTAGAAATGTAATAACACATTTTATATATAAGTAAATATATGTATATATAAGTATGTATACTTACATATAAAGTATATATGCTTTACATATTTATATATATGCTTAATATAAAAATGTAATAATATCTTTTTTCTTTCTAATTGCCTTTGTTTGTCATTTGATTACTTATTAGCACTTCTGTCAATAAGTAGGTGATGAGGTACATACTTGTTTTAAAAAGGAAAACAGCTGAAGAGCTGAGGGACAGTGCCCAGGCCCAGAGTTCAAGCGGCTCAAGTGGTAGAGTGCTTGCTTGAGCTGAAGAGCTGAGGGACAGTGCCCAGGCCCAGAGTTCAAGCCCAGGACTGGCAAAAAAAAAAAAGAAAAAAAAAGTCTCACAGATTTTCAGGCTGGGAAGGTGGCTCAGTGGTAGAGTGCTTGCCTTGCATTCATGAGGCCCTGGGTTCGATTCCTCAGCACCACATAAGCAGAAAAAGCCGGAAGTGGTGCTGTGGCTCAAGTGGTTGAGCGCTAGCCTTGAGTTGAAGAGCTCAGGGACAGTGCCCAAGCCCAGAGTTCAGGCCCCATGACCGACAAAAAAAAAAAAAAGGAAAACAAAAAAACAAATACCGTTAAGATTTCAATAATATATACACATTTCAAATACTTAAGTTATTTATTTCAATTTTTACTAAAGAATTGAGAGGTACTTACAAATCAATCTATTTTAGATTTATATATACATTATGGAGTCAGGCAGAATAAGAACTTAATTTTTCTGTAAACTCATTCCTATAAGCATTTTTTCACATAAGATAAAAATTTACATTATGAGCTGTGATTTTCAAAGAGCATTTGTATATAGTATCATAATTGACTTCTCAAAAGTTAGAGACATATTGTTACACTCTATTCACTAGATGTACTTTCTACCTTATGTACCATCATCTCTGTAGTACATAACCACGTTTGAAATTTACAAGACTCACAATTCTTTACCATTAGACATGAAAAAATACAATGACTGGGGCCATTTTCTTTCTTTCCTTCTCTGTTTTATTAGCTTAATTATAAACAAGTCCTAAAAACAGCTATCAGATATACTTTAATAGGAACTTTTTAAAGTTCCTATTATCAATTAATACACCCAGCATGGTAGATAAAGCCTGTAATACCAGTTACTTGGTAGGTAGATATTGGGGAGGATCATGGTTCCAGGCCAGCTGGGATGTAAAAATTTACAAGACTCCTTCCTAATCAATGGCTGGGCACAGTGATGTATGTCTGTCATCCCAATGACAAAGGGAAGCACAAATAGAAGGTTGAAGTTCCAGGCCAGCTGAGCAAAAAACAAGACTCTGTCTCAAAATAACCAACACAAAAAGGAGCTGTCAGAGTGTCTTATTAATTACTTAAGAGATCTTACTTGTCTATATGGAATGCAAATGTAAGCAACACATCCATTTCTGGCAGACAAAGATGCAAAGATGAACAGTTCTGATGGCAGTAATAAAAAGTAGCTTAAGGTTGAACTTTCAACTTTAGAGTCATTAGTCATGTAGGTTTCTGCCTTGAAGGAAATATTTTGGTGTACACTTCTCTAAGATAGATGCTACACATTGAACATCCCTAATCCCAAAAATTCAAAATCTTGCTGACACTGGCGGCTCACACCTGTAACCCTAACTACTCAGGAGGCTGAGATCTGAAGATCACCATTCAAAGCTAGCCCAGATTCAAGCCCCAGGACTGGCACCAAAAGAAAAAATACAAGTCCACTAAAAAATAATATATAAAATTACCACCTCCAAGTGAGGTGGGCTGCAATCTCAATTATTTGGGAGGCAGAGACAGGAGAATGGCAGTTTGAGGCCAACCTGGGCAAAATAGTAAACACTATCTCAAATAACAAGTTGGATATAGTGGTATGTGCCTGTAATCCCAGCTATGCAGGAACTAAGTTGGAGGATCATAGTCCAAATTTGGCCCTAGGGATAAAAAAGCATGAAACTCTGCGAAAAGTAATTTAACAAGGGCTGCAAATGTAGTTCAAATGGTAGAGTACTTTTCCTGATAAAAGCAAGACTGTTCAAATAGGTATTCTGGGTTCAAATTAGTACTGCCCAAAACATTAATAATAAAATAATTTTCAGGCTATCAGTATAAGGGATAGATAAAATATAAATGAATTTTGTGTTTGGACCTGGGTCTCAGCTCTAAGACATCTCATCATGTATATGTTATGATGTGTATATAGACTGTTCCCACATTGAGAAAAATCTGAAATCCAAACCATTTCTAGTTCCAAGCATTTCAGATGTGGACTATTCAACCTGTTTATCCCTGGATCTGACTGTAGGATCTCCCTCTGGGTGTCCCTCTTTGACCACAGAGAACAGCTGTGTAATGTACAGGTAACTACCTACCTTTGTTCAAATCTGACTAAGCTATTTTCTAGTTGTGGCTTTGAGGAAGTTACTTAACTCTTCAATACTTCACTTTCCTCATTCACAAAGTGCTGTAACAGTATCAGCTACACCATGAGATTGCTATATGAATCCAGTGAGTTAAAATATGTAAAGAACTTAAGATAGTACCTCAAATAAAGTACTATAAACAAGCGTGCTATTATTACTAACCATGTTAATGAAATTAATGAAGAAATTTTAGCTAAAGAAGTATAACAAGGCCAGCACCAGTGGCACCTGTAATCTTAGCTACTCAGGAGGCTGAGATCTGGGGATCCTGGTTTCAGCCTGGGCAAGAAAATCCACAAGACTCTTCTCTCCAATTAACCACCAAAAAATCTGGAAATGTGGTTCTAAGTGGTAGAACACTAGCCTTGAGCACAAAAGCTCAGGGATAGAACCAGGCCCTGAGGAGTTCAAGTCCAAGGACTGATTAAAAAATAGCATAAAAAAAAGTTTTTTAAAGGTCACTATTCTGATGACATTTTGTACTTTTATTTTCAAACTGGCCAACATGTAAGTGAACTTATGTGTTTTTTGTTGTTGTTGTTGTTGTTTTGTTGGTCGTGGGGCTTGAACTCTGGGTGCTGTCCCCCAGCTCTTCAGCTCAAGGCTAGAGCTCTACCACTTGAGCCATAGCACCACTTCTGTTTTTCTGGTGGTATATTGGAGGTAAGAGTCTCACGGCCTTTCCTGCCCAGGCTGGCTTTGAACCGCAATCCTCAGATCTCAGTCTCCTGGGTAACTAGGATCACAGGCATGAGTCACCAGTGCCTGGCTAAACTTCTGTTTTTAACAGCTTCATGGAGGCATAAACAACAATGAACTTTGTACAGTTGAAATGTACAATTTGCTATGCTATCACATAGTACATACCCATTAAGCTATCATCATCAACAAGCTATAATACACACATCTATCAATCTCAACTTTTCTTATACCCCTTGGTATTCACTCCTGTCACCTTCTCCACTGTCATCTTCCACTATGCCTAGCCAACAGCTACAATGTTTTCTGTTCTTACAGATCAGTTTGCATTTTCTAGAATTTTATTTAAATGGAATCATAGGCATTTTTTAAAGAAGTGGGTTGGGTATATAACTAGGTAGTTATTATCATAAACATTTTTGTATCTCCAAGCAGTACCTAACTCAGTAGTTTAGTTATTATAGCTACTCAAAAATGTTTATAGAATTGAATTCTGTAAAATATGTTCCATAAAAAAGCAAAAGAGGGGCTGGGAAGGTGGCTCAGTGGTAGAGCACTTGTCTTACATGCCTGAGGCCCTGGGGTCGATTCCTCAGTACCACATAAGAAAAAAGCCAAGAGTGGTGCTGTGGCTCAAGTGGTAGAGCGCTAGCCTTGAGCTGAAGAGCTGAGGGACAGCACCCAGGCCCAGAGTTCAGGCCCCAACCGGACCCAAAAAAAAAGAAAAAGAAAAAGAAAATTCATAATTAATGAAGTCAATGGTTCATGAACCTACATACTGAAGAAATAGGATAATTATTCTCCAAATTTGCGTTGGCCTTGAACCTCAAACCTCCTGATCTCTACCTAAGTTCTGAGTAGCTGAAATCAGAGCACATGGTTTAGCTTCTTTTACTCAACATAATTTTGTAAAAACGAATCAAGTAATTTTAAGAGTTCATGTATTTTTTTGGTTGAATAATATTCTAGTATACAGAACATGACATAATTTGTCCATTCACCATCTGATGGACATCAGTTTGGGGCTACTATGAAGTTGTTATAAACATTCATATACAAGACTGTGTAAACTTGTTTTAGATTCTACTGGGAAACCTGGAATAAAGTGCTGAGGCAATGTGTTAGATATACACTCTAGTTGGATTTTTTATTTTTATTTTTTGCCAGCCTTACCGTAGGGCTTGAACTCAGGATCTTGACACTGTGCCTGGGATTTTTATTTTCGCTCAGGCTAACACTCTATCTCTTGAGCTACAGCTCTACTTCTGGCCTTTTGGTGGTTATAAGTCTGGATATAAGTCTCTCACAGACTGTCTTGCTTGTAATCCTCAGATCTGTAATCCTCAGATCTCAGCCTCCTGAGAAGCTAGGATTGCTAGCTCATGAGAAGCAGAAGTCACCAGCACCCAGCTTATATGCATTAGTTTTTAAGCTGGAAATTGCCAGCTTGCTTTCCTCAGTGTCTGGATCATTTCACCTTCCTGCCAGCTGTAGAGGAGAGTGCCCTGGTTCCACTTGGCACTATCTCTTTTGAATGTGTGCATGATGGTACTTCATTGCAGTTTTTAATTTTATTGCGAAAATACCATACAGAGGGGTTACAATTACATGGGCAAGGTAATGAGTACATTTCTTTTTTTTTTTGGGTCCGGTCATGAGGCCTGAACTCTGGGCCTGGGCGCTGTCCCTCAGCTCCTCAGCTCAAGGCTAGCGCTCTACCACTTGAGCCCAGCACCACTTCCGGCTTTTTTTTCTTTTTGCTTATGTGGTGCTGAGGAATCGAACCCAGGGCCTCAGGCATGCAAGGCAAGCACTCTACCACTGAGCCAACTCCCAGCCCCATGAGTACATTTCTTATCAAGCACTGTAGCCTCCTCCTTTGTTTCCCCTTCCTTCATTGTGGTTTTATTTTGCATTTTCCTAGTGATTAACAATGTTGAGAATCTTTTAATACATTTATTTGCCATTCATGTATTTTTTTGGATGAAATACATATCTACATGTTTTGTCCATTTTACTTAGACTTTGCTTTCTTAATAATCAGTCTCTTAAGATTGTGCACTGAAGAACAGAAGTTTTACTTTTAGTAAGACTCATTTTTCAGTTCTCTTTTTCATAGAGATTCTGTTACCACATCCAGGAAATTATTGTCTAAATCATGGTCACAAACATTTTTCTTGCAGGTGTCAATGGCTCACACCTCTGATCCTAGCTACTTAGGAGCTTGAGACCTGAGGATCATGGTTTGAACTCAGCCCAGGCAGAAAAGTCCATGAGACTCTTATCTTTAATTAATTAGCAAAAAAACAGAACTGAAGGTATGTTCAAGTTTACATAGAGCACAAGCCTTGAGCAAAAAAACTAAGGGATAACACTTAGGCCTTGAGTTCAAATCCAAGTATCAGCACACATACAAATCTTTTTTTTTTTTGGGTCTGGCCGTGGGGCCTGAACCCTGGGCCTGGGCGCTGTCCCTCAGCTCTTCAGCTCAAGGCTAGCACTCTACCACTTGAGCCATAGAGCCACTTCTGGCTTTTCTTGAGCCATATCGCCACTTCTGGCTTTTTTCTTTTTGCTTATGTGGTCTGGGGAACCGAACCCAGGACCTCAGGCCTGCAAGGCAAGTGCTCTACCACTGAGCCACCTTCCCAGCCCCATACAAATCTTTTATGTAGATGCTATTAACAGATATTTAGTATTGATAATGTGTCCCATAAACAATTTTTATCTTAGGTAGTTTTTCTTTTCCTCCTGAATATCATGTAATTTTGCACAATACCATGTAATAAATATCAAGGAAATTAACTCATGAGAAATAAATTGCCAATACATAAATTTCAAAATTGAAAACAAGTATATTTTAAACTTGGAGAATAGTTATCCTATTTCTTCAGTAGGCAGGTTCATGAACCACTGGCTGATGAATTTTCTTATGCTTTCTCATGGAACATATTTTACAAAATTCAGTCCTATAAGTTGGGTGCCGGTGGCTCACGCCTGTAATCCTAGCTACTCAGGAGGCTGAGATCTGAGGATTGCAGTTCAATCTCCAATAAACCACTAGAAAACCAGAAGTAACGCTGTGGCTTAAGCTGTAGAGCACTCACCTTGAGCTGAAGAGCACAAGGACAGAGCCCAAGCCCAGAGTTCATGCCCCATGACCAACAAAAAAAATAAAATAAAAAAATTCAATCCTATAAACATTTTTTGAATAACTACAACTACTAAACTACCTAGTGAGGTACTGCTTGGAGATACAAAAATGTTTATCATAAGAACTATCTAGTTAAGTGCTGGACATTTTATATACATTACTTTTCATCTTAAACTTAAAGATGAAGTAGGTTAGGCTTAGAAAGAGACTAAATAACATGTTCAATGATACTGCTAGATAATGCTTAAGCTAGGATTTATATCCAAGCTTGTGTTAGTAAAAGAGGCATGATTTGAGGCTATCTGCCTCCAAAGAATCACACAGGGACAATAGCATCATCATTCTTATTTTAAGTGCAAATGATCTGGTTTGGTACCTGAGAAAAATTTGCTGCTGCTTCTGGTAACTTAGTATCACTTTCTTGTGTTGTCAGATGAGTTGTGGGAAGAATCAGGTTCGAATCTGGCTGTAATTCCAATTCTCCCAAACTCATTGGACCATGACTAGCACAGGAATCTTCATAAATACCACCTGTTAACAAAGATGTAAATGAAGAGCAAAATTATACATTTAAATCAGAAAAAGAACAAGCAGGGCTGGGAAGGTGGTTCAGTGGTAGAGTGCTTGCTTTATATGCATGAGGTCCTGGGTTCAATTTCTTGGCACCACATAAACAGAAAAAGCCAGAAGTGGCGCTGTGGCTCAAGCGCTAGAGCACTAGCTAACCTGGAGATGAAGAGCTAATGGACAGTGCCCAGGCCCAGAGTTCAGGCCCACAATCGCCAAAAAAAAAAAAAAAATTTATAGAAGGAGAAGCTAATATGTTTCTTTAGTACAACCTTAAAAAAAAAAAAAAAAAAAGAACAGGTAGACTAAAACAGTCTTTTTTCATCTGTAGAATTAGAACAGTGTATTTCAACCAAACACTTTTGGCAGGCCTTCATTGCAATGAAAATCAAAGCTCTTACAGAGAATACAAATGCTACCCATGTTAACATAAACCCACATAATATTCTAAGTAAGGCTTCAAGTCTCCCCTGCAGTCCCTCCCTTTGCTTCTACTCACTTACCAATTCCCAGTATTCCTGCTACTTCTATCACTAAAGTCAATATAACACTTTCTATCTAAAACATAATCTTAAATCAAAGGGCTGTTCCCTGGCTAGACAATGCTACAACTAACTAACTCTGTTGTGCAGATCTCTTTTTCATATGATCAAGTTCCTGTTTCTTACTTAAATGTCATCTCAGGCAAATCAAAAGACCAGTACGAACAGAAAGAGCAGCCAGGCATAGCAATGCATGCTTTTATATCAGCACTTGGGAAGCAGGGGCAGGAGGATCTTGAGGCCACCCCCATAAAAAAAGAGCAGGTATCTATAGATATCTAGTAATATCTGTACATGTGCATTGTGCTCTATACTCTAAGCACTTTCATGTACATTATCTCATTTAATGGGAACTTCACCTCATTCTGTGAGATGGGCAGGTCAGATCGTCTTTCATTGAACAACAAAAGTTCAGTGAAGCTAAATGTTTACAAACCAGAAAACTAGTTAGAGTCACAGAATTAAAATTTGCATTGCCTAACTCCTAGTCACTATTCTTTATTTCACATTCTTCCTAAAATACTTCTGATAAAACCGTTTTTCCAGCTGGGAAGGTGGCTCAGTGATAGAGTGCTTGCCTTGTATGCATGAGGCCCTGGGTTCCATTTCTCAGCACCACAGAAGCAGAAAAAGCCGGAATTGGCGCTGTGGCTCAAGTGGTAGAGCACTAGACTTGAGCTGAAGAGCTGAGGGGCAGAGCCCAGGCCCAGGCCCCGGCCCCATGACTACTACATTCCTGATTAATGGCCAAATTTTAAATAAAACATGGGCCACTATATCTCAATCAATAGAAACAGAATTGAAAAGTTACATATAAACTAAAACTGTTTTAAATTAAATATTTTAAAACACCATAGATGTTTTCCATTCAAAGGTAATCATTTTAGTTGGCATTGCACAATTGACAATTTCCTAGATATAAAAAATAAGTATGTTTAATCTTTCATGATAATTTAGTTTTGGGGGGACTTAGAGTAAAGCAATATACATCTGTTCAACTTTCATTTTCTTCTTTATTCTATTTAATCTACACAAAATAATTTATGAAATTATTACCTGATTATCATCCAATTGTCTAGCATAATACAAGAATAATTTAGATAATGACAATAATACTCATATCTAGAGTAATAAATGTTCCTGGCTTTGAATTTATTTACAGTGTGATATGCCATTTTCTATTCCTATCAAAGCACAAGTAAAATAATATACACAATATTTAAAGAGATAAAAAATCTCCAAGCACCATGGCTCATTTCTATAATCCTAGCTACTCAGGAGGCTGAGAGCTAAGGAGAACAGTTTCAAGCTAGCCATGGCAGCAAAGCCCGTGAGATGCTTATCTCTACAAAATGCCAGGAGTGAAGGCTGGCTCAAGCCTCCAGCAAAAATACTCAAGGTTGGAAGTGGAGGTATGTTTCAAGGCAGAATACCAGACTTAGGCAAAAATAAGCTAAGGGATGGCATCTAGGTCCTGAGTTCAAGCTCTATACCAGCACAAAATAAGTTAAATGAAAATGGCCTAGGAACAAAGAACAACAAAAAAACAAAACAAAAAAAAAACAACCCTCAGGGACAGTGCAAAGGCCCTCATTTCAAATCCCAGTACTGGCATACCCATACACACAACAAAAGAGAAAATTATTTGGCATCATCCATTTTGAAACTAAAAATATATCTGCCCTTGCATTCCGCATTAATAGAGGGGAGGGGGGAATAGTAATGAAGTAAATATCCACCAACAGAGAAATGACTAACAAGTTATTGGATTGGTAAAGCAATACCAGCTGACCTGAATCTATAGACACAAAATGCAGGCAAGTGTACAGGATATGATCTCCAGTTATAAAATAACTGCAATCATACATATTATAGATACTGTGTATACGTATGTGAATATATGCGTATTAAAAAAACACATGTCTTAACATATTGTGGTAGTGCAGGCTAGCAAAAATCAAGACCACTTTTTAGAGAGGATAAAAGAGTTTACTGCTGACCCAAACCAGAGTAGTGCCAGAAAGAAGTTTGGATCCTATGGAGGGAAGGCCTTAGGTTTTATTCAAGCTGGTTACACTTAACATAGGCATTATTCAGATATACAAGAGGTCAGGTAAGAATGCCATCAACTTCTGACAAGGTGAGCAATTCCTTTCTAATTACTCAGGAATTGTGATATACGATTACCACCTGCTTCTGTATTATTATTTAAAATAAAGCCTTTTGGGCTTCCTGCTTGGGATTCTCTAGATAGCCCTACCTAGCCTGCTCCTGACCCACATTCCAGCAACAGCCCCACCAGGCCACATTCCCGCAGCTGGGTGGGGGCCACATTCTGGCAACTGGATACAGCGGTGTCCCTTCACCTGGAGGGGTAACTGTCTATTTCAACAGGACATAACACGTCACTTTCAACTACAGAAAAGACTCAGTGTTGACTGTGCATCTTTTTGGTACTAAATCTAAACTGCAAGCCTTAGCAATGAGTGAAGTAGAGGACTATAAGTTGTGAAAGATTGCTTTCTGCAAATAGGCAGAGGTGGAGAGGAAGGTAATGAACAGAAAAAGTCTCTGTTCATAGTTACTGGTCAGGAGAAGAAAATCTTTACACAAGAGGAAATACAGTTCTCTAAGGACAATTGTGGAAATTTTTAGTCTGTTAAGTACACAGAAAATGCTACTTTGACAGACCTCGAAACATTACAAAAGATAACACCTACTGTGTGCCACACCTTAAGCTAACTACAAGCACAGTAACTACTTGTCTCAGAGAACACAGTAGTCTTCAAGATAGTCCCCAAAGATCTCTGCCTCCTGGTATCCACCCTTTTTGTAGTCCCTGGTTAAATTATTCCAAGTTTGGTCTGCTTTATCAATAAAATGTGATGGAAGTGATAGCATATCATTTAAATGATTAGGTTATTAAAAACATTGTTTCTATTTCAGTTGCTCAGTTTTTGGTCAGACCAGTTTCTCTGCTGGAGCAGCTGACAGAGATAGGGAGGAAGAGAATCCTCCAAACCCAGTTAACCTTCAGATTATCTTAGTCTCACCCAACCATTTGACCAAAACCTCAGGAGACATCCTGAGGAACGCTAGCTAAGCCACCTCTGGATTTATGACTTTTAGAGTTGGAGGAGCTAAGAAATGTTTGCTGCCTTCAGTTCTAAATGATGCTGAGAATTTGTAACATCTCTCCCCATTTGCTAGATGAATAAATTTAAGTTTGGAACATTAAGTTATCTGATTGAAGATGCAAAGAGATAGAATTCAAACCTATTTCTTAAAATTTAAGTCTAAATTTTAGCCATTTTGCTAAGCTGCTACACACACACACACACACACACACACACACACATACACACACCTATATATCTCATACAAGATGACTTATTTTTCCAATTAAATTAAACAATGTATTCAGTTAGTTTGTTTAATTTAATACAATAGATTTACTATTAAAATGAACTCTACATCACCGGTAATTTTCTGGGTGCTCTGCAGAGATAAAGAAAAAGTTACAGAGGTCTCAAGTGCCTAATAGCTCACAAGTGATCTGTGAGAGCCATCTAGTGTCAATCTTGTTTATTGCAAGCTGCATAAATAGCCAGCTAAGAAGTTACTCAATAAAACCTAAGGATTTGAAAGGGTAAGGTTATGGCTCAAGTGGTAGGACGCTTCCCCTATTAAGCACACCGCCCTGAGTTCAGTAAGACAGAATGAAACAAAACAAAAACAAGGAATGTAAAACACTTAATACTCTTATCATATGCACAAAATGAGAAATAATGCCAATCTTTACATATACTCCCATGGAAAATACAGTCTTAAATTTCTCTTAATTCTGAATGATACAAGGTATTCATTCAATGTAAAGCCAACACTCTAATTTGGTGTAGGGCAGTAACAGAGTTTGAACTCAGGGCCTTGTGTTTGCTAGGCGGGTGAGCTACTTGAACCATGTCCCCAACCTTATACTTCTCTAACCTCAGGAAAGTTCTTTTCTGGTTTCTGGCAAATCTGAACACATAAAAGAAGTTTCTTTTCACATATTAGAATGTAACAATGGGCATGGAAAAAGTCAATAAGCAGAATATAGTCAAGCCTCATTTGCAAATCTTACATTTGTAAATTTATCTACTTGGTCCACTTACTAAAATTTATTTGTATCTCAAAGAATAGTATTCACAGGATCTTGTGGGTTTTGTGTACTTGGGTAGAATGGTGAAAAATTTGAACTACTCAATCAATATCAACTATTAAACGTGATATTTTCAGTTTATTTAATACCATGCTTTTCTTTTTACTTTATTCTTTGTGCATGTATGTTATATGATTTTGTTACTGAAAATCCCCTTCCTCACTCCCCCCTCCCTGCTATTTTAAAAGTACTGAAAACAAGCTGGGCACTAGTGGCTCATGCCTAGCTACTGAGGAGGCTGAGATCTGAGGATCATGGTTCAAAGCTAGCCCAGGTAGAAAGTCCATGAGACTCTTATCTCCAATAAACCACTAGAACACAGGAAGTGGCGCTGTGGCTCAAGCAGTAGAGCACTGGACTTGAGCTGAAAAGCGTAGGGACAGTGCCCAAGCCCAGAGTTCAAGCCCCACAACTGACCAAAAAAAAAATTTTTATTTGTGTTACATAACTTCCTTCAGGCATGAGTTATAGTGCTGATGACTGTGACTCAGTATTTGTGAATTAAGAATACATATTATATATGGTGTCTTTAAACAAAAAAATCAAGTTATTTTCTGATAAGCTTAACAACACTGCTAACACTGCTTGTAGAAACCTAACCTTATATTTCTTCTGCTAGAAGCAAAAGTTCTGCATTTGCTAACATGTTCATGGTGACTTCATAGGATGTAAGTAATGCATACAATGAGAATTAACTACATATGCTAGAGTTAGGTGTTCTGTTATACTCTTTCCAAAATCGACAGCAGAAAATTTAGTTCTACCCTAAAGTCAGTCCTAGGGCACCAAGCACCAAATACTACATTTGAAAACCATAAAAGGAGGAAGACCCAGTATGTCAGCTTTAACAATTACATTTTCCTAGTATATATTAAACTAAATATACCTGTATTAAAATTTTAAAGTGTATGTATGCATATTACCAAAATGATCTCCTGTTCTACCCAGTGTTGGTATATATAGCCACACTGACATGTGAGTCACACTCAGGGAAATACTGCTACATATACCACAGAAGTTATTACCTTTAACAAATAAAATTTTCAAGCCTCCATCTGAAAACAGTTATATTTTTCTCAGTTCACATTAGGAATACTACTATAGATTATAATACAAAATAGAAGATAGCATTCATTGAAGAAAGTACAAATAAAATATGATCAGTGAGTGTTTCATAGATGATACATCAAGAAACATCACTGAAAGTATACCTGAACCTGTGCTGGACTGCTGAAATAATGGCCTAGGGTCACACGGCTGATCCACAGACTCTGCATTGACAATGGACAGTGGCATATAGAAAGACTGGCCCATTAAGATGTTTTCCACTGCGGTTGTCAGCCTGGGCCTCTGACCTTCACTAAGTTCACCCACACTGATATCCAAGTCCTTTAAAAAGTAGAAAAGATGATTAATACCTTCATATTAAGATCAAGTCAAAACAAAAAATAATTGTTGAGTATCTTGCCCACTTGCAGTAGTCTAAAAAGTGTTTATTATGCCAGATATACATTGCATGAAAAGTAAATTTAAGAAGCCAGCTTAGTACAGCATCTAGAGTTAGGTTTAATCTTTATCTTATTTTTTTAATGAAGTTAACCATTGCAAATGTTTCACAGTGATTAGCTTACATTAATTGCCAGCTCAGCAATTGCTACACTCTTAGTTCAAATCCCAGTACCACCACTACCAACAACAAAAAATCCAAAAAAGCTCTACAGTTCAATGAGTCAAAATTAAACCTTTTACATACTGACTTCGAATAACTAAAACATAACTTTATATTAATTAAAAGTGGATTTATATCTAGCCAAAAGTATCATTAAGATTCAAAAGTACCTCAGAATGATAGACTGCTTGCTGTGAACCCAACTCCTGGTTTTGTTTAGTAAGAAAACGAACTGCATCTAGATGAGATTTTTTATGGGGCATCTTAATCACCTGTCCTTCACTGGGAGGATCATCTTCCTAAAAGAATCATAAAGGCAGTTACTAAATCAAAAGCTTTATCAAACAAGCCGGGCGCTGGTGGCTCATGCCTGTAATCCTAGCTACTCTGGAGGCTGAGATCTGAGGATCGCGGTTCAAAGCCAGCCCGGGCAGGAGAGACCGTGAGACTCCTATCTCCAATAAACCACCAGAAAACCGGAAGTGGCACTGTAGCTCAAGTGGTAGAGCACTTGCCTTGAGCTGAAGAGCTGAGGGACAGGGCCCAGGCCTAGAGTTCAAGCCCCAATTGACTACAATAAAAACTCTTGTTTTAACTATACAATATTATAATTTGGTAACAATAAACTATAAGATTAATTGTGAAAATCATGAATATTGGACTTCTGTTACAAACAACTGAAGTACAATGACCCTTTGTGTTCTATCTAGGACCATCGAGTTTTGTGCTCCGCTGGTGTACTACTTCAGGGTATGCAATTCACAAAGCAATGTCAGAATGGGGCCATGAAGCCAAAGCATGGTGGTAGTGCTACACCTGGACCACACGTAAAAATGAAACACTATAAAAATGTGTGGTAGCACCTATAGCCCTTTGCCTCTGTGCTGACACCTGCCTTACTTGGCAAGGACTAAGTCTTTCTCTTTTTCTTTTCTTTTTTTGGTCCTGGGGCTTGAACTCTGGGCCTAGGCTCTGTCCCTGAGCTCTTTAGCTCAAGGCTAGCGCTCTACCGCTTGAGCCACAGCGCCACTTCCGGTTTTCTGGTGGAGATGAGTCTCATGGACTTTCCTGCCTGGGTTGGCTTTGAACCATGATCCTCAGATCTCAGCCTCCTGAGTAGCTAGGATTACAGCCATGAGCCACTGGTGTCCGGCCAAGGACCAGATTTTAAAAGCCCAGGAAAGCACAAGGCCTCCATCACAGGGCCTCCTCCGGCAGCACAATGTCTCCAGCATTGTGCCTCAGGCAAATCTGACACCTTCAGAGTGCAAGAATTTCCCTGAAACTAAAATGCTTGTAGGTTTGGCCTTTTTACCTTGCATCTACTTTTAAAGATAGTTGGGATGCTTCTAAAATAAAACATTACCATTTATGAAAAAAAAAATTGACCTTTCACCAAAATGAGGAATACTGTGGACCTTAGAGCCAAGGTATATTGCCTTATAAATACAGGTATGTCATTTGAAAGTCATTAAAATATTTTAATGGATTATAATTCCATACCCCTCAGCTGTTTACAGAAAAATGCCTAATGGTACATGACTACAAGCCATTTTTGTTTTTTTTCCCCATATTCCACTTTGCATTTCCTATACATTTCTATTACTATTGATTTAGGCACAGTAAAAATATCAAAATTAAAAATTGGTTTCAAATGTAGAAACAGCAATACCTATAATTCAGTCTTGATTCAGTTTACTTACTTCATTAATTTATTTTTGTTGGTTGTAGAGCTTGAACTTTGGGCCTGGGCGCTGTCCCTGAGCTCTTCAGCTCAAGGCTAGCACTCTACCACTTGAGCCACAGCATCACTTCCGACTTTTTCTGTTTATGAATCGAACCCAGGGCTCATGCGTGCGAGGTAAGCACTCTATCACTGAGCCACCTTCCCAGCCCTACTTACTTACTTGAAAGAAACTTAAACATACATTAGATAAAGATCTAAGAATGTGTAAAAAGGATTACTTTTTAAGCCATTATATTTACATACTTGTCAGCACAAAGTATTATAATTGTGGTTAAGGAAAATAACATGCATTATGAGAGCTACTTAAAATATTGTAAACGGAATAAACAAATGTTGATTTTTAGCACTGAGGTAAATTTCATCAGTTATGTTACCTGTACATTTTTAGCTATTAGAACCACAGAGATTAATGACAACTTTTTTTTCACTTTCATGATTATAAGATTATATAGTGAAATATGCAAGAAACTTTAAAGTCTTCTTGTACTCATGGACAATATATACTTTCATATATATGATACATATTTTTATATATATCTTTTAACATTTTAAAATGTTTAAATATTTAAGATATCATACATATAATATGTATAATGTATGTATACATTATACATGTTTAAAATATTTATATATAAATAATACATAACACATATAATGTATATGGGTACATTATATGTATGTTTAAAATATTTATATAAAATAAAATAAAAGTTGCTTCAGATAAAAATTAATACAATTTGAAAAAGTAAAAAAAATATGAATTTTTTTCCCCTCCCTAAGTTGTTCAGGCCAGCCTCAAGCTCTGGAGCAGCTGTGATTATTGGAATTTACCACTGTGTCCAGCTTCAAGAACTGTAGTTTATTAAATTTTGTATATATCTCAAATAATTGAGAAAAGAATTCTGATCCATAGCAACAAATTCATCAGGCTACTGTTCCTGTGGGAATGCAATACTGGATTCCATTACTCCTTACCATTTCAAGGGCATCCTGCAGAGTGCTTGATAAGCTATCATTTAGGTTTGTGTGGTACAATCCTCCATCTTTTAAAACTGGAAATTAAAATGTGAGAATTTAGAAAAAAAGATTATTAAAACTAGTAAATAATCTGACCAAAGAGCCACAGAACATTACATTTTAATTTATACAGCAACAGAAATACTGAGAAAGTTCATAACAATTCACAAACTTCACAATTTATAACATAGATGAGACTTTTATTTCACCTACCATCTTGTAAGAAAAGAACTATAAAAAACACTATAGACATAAAATTGAAAAATGGGTACGCCTATAAATTCTTATTGTCATTAAGATCTGATTAATGGTATTTTAAAGGTGCCTACTCTAACTCCACAATTTCCCCCTACGTGTGGATCCTAGGAAGACACAAAGATATGTGCAAGTATGGTCTTTAGAGACAGTCAAGAAACATTGAAAACAATCTAAATGTTTCTACCAGGCATTGTATAAATAGATGAGACATTGAAAATGATATAGACCTGTGTGTGTATGTGTGTGTGTGTTAAAAAAATCAATATGCAAAGTCGGATCCTTTTTTAAAGGTACATAGATATACTCTTGTATGTTTTAGGTGTCTCTCTAGGCACACACAAGGGAAGCTTAATAAAAGACATACCTGAAACTTTATGGTATTAATTCTAGAGGGTGGGAGTATGAGAAATACTTTATTTTCTAAAACTGGAGTGCAGAAAAGTTATTAACTTTCACAGAGCCTCTATTCTTTTTACTACATCATGTTAAATTAGGAAAACTAGGTAAGAACACTTTTTCTGGTTCCTGGGACTTGAATTTTTTTTTCCCCTTAAGGCTAGCATACCACCACTTGAGCCACAGCTCCACTTTCAGCTTTTTGTGGCTAATTTGAGATGAGAGTCTCATAGACTTTATTGCTCAGGATGGCCTAGAACCACAATCCTCAGATCTTAGCCTCCTGAGCAACTAGGATTACAAGTGTGAGCCATCAGTACCTGACAGTAAAAACATTTTTAAAAGACAAGCATGGCTGGGAAGGTGGCTCAATAGTAGAGTGCTTGCCTTGCATGCACGAGGCCCTGGGTTCGATTCCTCAGCACCATATAAGCAGAAAAAGCTAGAAGTTGGGCTGGGAAGGTGGCTCAGTGGTAGAGTGCTTGCCTTGCATGCATGAGGCCCTAGGTTCGATTCCTCAGCACCACATAAGTGGAAAAAGCTGGAAGTGGCGCTGTGGCTCAAGTGGTAGAGCGCTAGCCTTGAGCTGAAGAGCTGAGGCACAGCGCCCAGGCCCAGAGTTCAGGCCCCAGGATGACAAAAAAACAACACAAAACAAAACAAACTAAAAACAACCACCACAAAAGACAAGCATTTGTCTGAGAAAATTATCATAATGTAACCAGTGAAATCAACTGACATAGGTAACTTACTCCTGGAAGCCAATTTTTGACCATAGCTAAATAAAATTTCTCCTTCAGAGATGGGTCTATCTAAAGTTTCCGTCTCCGTGACAGTAGCACTCAATGTGCTCTCCAGTGTGGATGAACGTGAACTGATCATCTGTACGGGAGAAGGAGCCTTGGGAGCTGCAGGAAATGGTATGAAGGGAACTGACTCTGGAGGTGCAGGCTGAGCAGGGAGGACCATGTCCTCAGGTTCTTCCTCTTTAGCCACAGACATTACTCTAAGAAGATAAAGACATATTTTTGGATTTATTAGGTCACTGAAAGTCTATAATCATTTTTATGTAAGGAAAACATTGGACTCAACAGCATAACATCTCCTTTAGCAAATCATTTCTGCCATTTATACTACTATAATTAACAAGATTTATCCTTTTTTTTTTTGTCGGTAGTAGAGCTTGAACTCTGTGCCTGGGTGCTGTCCCTCAGCTCTTCAGCTCAAGACTAGCACTCTACCATTTGAGCCACGGAGCCACTTCCAGTTTTTGGGTGGTTTATTGGAGATAAGAGTCTCACAGACTTTTCAGCTTGGGCTGGCTTTGAACTGTGATCCTCAGATCTCAGCCTCCTAAGTAGCTAGGATTACAGGCCTGAGCCACCAGCGCCCAGCTTATTCCTTTTTGTGTGTGTGTGTGCCAGTCCTAGGGCTTGACCTCAGGACCTGGGTGCTGTCCCTAAGCATCTTTCATTCAATGCTAGTACTCTATCACTTTGAGCCATAGTTCCACTTCCAGTTTTCCAGTGGTTAAATGGAGATAAGAGTGCCTCACAGACTTTCCTGCCTGGCTTTGAACCACAATCCTCAGATCTCAGCTTCCTGAGTGAGCCATCAGAGCATGGCTAAGATTCATTCTTCTAAAATTGTTTTTATGTTTTTTTTAATTTATTTTTTATTTGTGAACATACTGTACAGAGGGGTTACAATTACATGGGCAGGATAATGCGTACATTTATTACCAAGCATTGCAGCCTCCTCCTTTGGTTTACCATTCACATCCCTTCCCAGCCTCTCCCCTCCCCCCCTTGTTTTTATGTTTTAATCAAAGGCCAACTAGCAAGTTCTAGCAATGAAATACACACTTACAGTAATCAGTTATATGAAAGTAAACTGATATTAACTGAATAACTTTGTAAATGATGATCACATTAAGGTGAAATAATTTTCTATTTTATTAACAATCAGATGTCTTACTATAATCTGTTTCAAAACTTTTTAAGACTCCCCCACAGTATAACCCCTGCTTTCACTATATTTGATGTCGGTATAATTTGTGGAGGAGATGGGGAAAAACAAGTCGTTTAAGGATACAGGTGGACCTGTTGCAACAATGAGAAGTACAAGTTGTCATGTCAAAAAGGGGCGGGGAGGGAGGATTGGGGGGGGATTGGGTGGGGTGGCGGGGGGGAGGCTGGGAAGGGATGTGAAGGGTAAACAAAGGAGGAGGCTGCAATGCTTGATAAGAAATGTACTCATTATCTTGCCCATGTAATTGTAACCCCTCTGTACAGTATGTTCACAAAAAATAAAAATTAAAAAAAACACTTCTAAGAGGAAGCAAAGGCATAAATAAATTTCATAGAAATTTTAAAAAAGAACAATGTTTATAAAACTTCTTATTTCCAGTTTGGTAAAGGTATATTGCTTAGTGGTAGAACACTACCCTAGCATATTAAAGGCACTGGGTTTGACACCCAACACTGTAAAAACAAAAACAAAACAAAAAAACCATCTACCACCAACAACCCAAAGCGTAGTTTGTGGTTTACAAAGCTTCATATATCATGGCTGTGTTTTCCATGGGTCATAAAAATCAAATGTCAGAATATAGAGTTACTGAAAGTGAATATAATTCACCCTACCCACAAGTTCTACATTCAGTATTCAGTTAACAACAAATGGAATATATTAGAAAGCAAAAAGCATCTGTACTTTTTCCTTGTTATTCTCCCCTGAGCAATGCAATATAACAACTCTTCACAGAGCATTTACATTGAATTAGGTATTCTAAGTAATCTAGAAATGATGGTAAGTATATAAGAGAATATTCATTGATTATATGCAAATACTACGCCATATTATTATATAAAAGGATTTGAATATGTGTGAATGTTGGCATGAGTGTGTCCAGGTACCAATTCCCTGTCAGATACAGAGGGACAAGTATAGGACGGGAGCAGTGGCTCATGTCTATAAATTTTAGTGCATGGAGGAAGAGATCAGGGAGACTGTAGCTCAAGACTAGTCTGAGTAAAAAGTTGACAGGACCATCTCAACAAAAAAGCTGGGTATAAAGGTTCATGACTGTGATCCCAGCTACATGAAAGGCACAGGTAGGAGGAGCATAGTCTAAGACTAGACATGGGCAAAAACATGCGAACTTATACAAAAAAATAAAGAACAGCAAAAAAAGGCAGGAGGCATAGTTCAAATGGTAGAGCACCTATACAACAAGCATAAGTCCTGAGTTCAATCTCCAGTACTGGCAAAACAAAATGGAAACAGCAGGATGGGGGACAACTGTATGTTCTTTCTTACATAGCTCTTGGTTGAAGATCCTCTTGAAATGAATTAGGATTCTCTTCATCCAATGGCAGGTCTCCATCTCCCCATGGCTTAGGAATCTTCAAATCTGAGCTCATTATCTTCATTTTATCAATGGAAATCTCTGACAAAGTTGGGGTAAGAGCAGCTGCTGAGGGAGGTGTCAAAGTAGGAGTAACTGTTGGAGTATTAAGTGTGATGGCAGACATATCAGTCCCTACAGATTTTTCTTAAAAAGAGGAAAAATATAAAGGTTAGTAAAGAAAGGCAATATACATCGCTTCAGATCCCCCTTTACATTCTGGCATACAAATAATAGCAATAAGAATAACAATGGTGAGGGTTGTGGCTATGAATGAGAGATTAATTTAGTACAGTATAAGAAGTAAAAGAAAAAGGCTGGGAATGTGACTTAGTGGTAAGAGTGCTCGCCTTGCATGCATGAAGCCCTGGGTTCTATTCCTCAGTACCACTTAACAGTAATCTATCTGTTAGATTATGTACTTTAAGAAGTGGTGATATGGTTTAAATATCTCGAGGACTGAATGAAATTTAATTCCCATACGCAAGAGATATTTAGAGGTGGGACTGTTGGGAACTAATTAAGGGTGAAAAGAGGACTTGAAGTCAGGGGTTCCATGCTTTTCCACCATGTAGTAGTTCCTTCTGACATTTATGAAACAGCAAGGAGGCCCTTAACAGATGCAGTCCCTTAGTCTTGGACTTTCCAGCTTCCAGAATTGTAAGAAATTAGTTTACTTTCTTTACAAACTACCCAGAGTACGTGATATTCTGTTATAGAAATATAAGATGGTCAAGTGACAACTAATTCCTTAATTTCTTTGCAGAAAAGAAGTGATTTTCTAAAACCCAGTAAGCAATGACTATGTATAATCAAAAGCATCTTAGAAAACAAATTACAAACTTTTAGTTAATAGTTGCTTAAATTATAATTAAGTCAAAGAAATAAAGGTCATACCTTTTTCAGCAACTATTTCTTTCACAGAAAAAGCTATCTCATGATCTGAATCGCAGGGAGAGGAATCTGGAGTTTGTAATAACACGAGCTTAGGGGATGCTGGAGGTGAGCCAGGAGGAGTAGGCTGTGGGGTAGCCACTGGGGTATACACTCTTTCCTAAAATAAATGAGTAAAACAAGACAAATGGTGTTGATGATCATCAAACTAAAAATAATCAACAATAATACACAGTTCATCCATAGACTGTATAGAACTTAGGCAAAATAACAACAAAAAGGAGTCTCAAGTTCCCTGGGTCCTAACTGTCTAGTGTAAAAATGGCCTAAAGAAACTCTTTGGAACTTTACAACTTTGGAGAGGGAGATTGGGTGGAGGGGGGTCGGGGGGAAGATGGGAAGGGATGGGAAGGGGAAACAAAGGAGGAGACTACAATGCTTGATAAGAAATGTACTCATTGGGGCTGGAAAGGTGGCTTAGTGGTAGAGCGCTTGCCTTGCATGCATGAAGGCCTGGGTTCGATTCATCAGCACCACATAAGCAGAGAAAAAAGATGGAAGTGGCATTGTGGCTCAAATGGTAGAGCGCTAGCCTTGAGCTGAAGAGCTGAGGGACAGTGCTCAGTCCCAGAGTTCAGGCCCTCGACAGGACACCCCCCAAAAAAAAAAGAAAAAGAAATGTACTCATTATCTTGTCCATGTAATTATAACCCCTCTGTACAGTATTTTCACAATAAAAAAAAAAAGAAAAACTCTTTTGAAATCACCTCTGAATTAGGCCTCTCAAAAATTTTAAATACTCTTTTTTTTTGCTAGTCCTGGGGGATGAACTCTGGGCCTGGGCATTGCCCCTGAGCTTCTATTGCTCAAAGTGAGCTCTCTCTCTACCACTTAAGCTACAGGGCCACTTCCAGCTTTTTTGAGTAGTTTATTGGCAATAAGAGTCTCACGGACTTTCCTGCCTGTGCTGGCTTCTAACTGCTATCCTCAGATCTCAGTCTCCTGAGAGCTAGGATTACAGGTGTGAGCCACCAGCACTCAGCTAAAGTATTGTCTTTTAATACAGAAAAGAAGACTAAATGCATACAGCTTAGACCAAAAGCCCACTACCTTGATAGACAAGCCCTGCAATTTAACTGAAAAAAACAAAGCCCAGTGCTGGTGGCTCACACCTGTAATCCTAGCTACTCAGGCGGCTGAGATCTGAGGATTGCAGTTCAAAGCTTGCTGGGACAGGAACATCTGTGAGACTCTATCTTCAATTAACCACAGAAAACCGGAAGTGGGGGCTGGGAAGGTGGCTCAGTGGTAGAGTGCTTGCCTTGCATGCGTGAGGCCCTGGGTTCAATTCCTCAGCACCACATAAGCAGAAAAAGCCAGAAATGGTATTGTGGCTCAAGTGGTAGAGTGCTAGTCTTGAGCCGAAGAACTGAGGGACAGAAACCAGGCCCAGAGTTCAGGCCCCATGACTGACCAAAAAACAAAAACAAACAAACAAACACAGCAACAAACAAACCAACAAAAAGAAAACTGGAAGTGCTGCTGTGGCTCAAGTAGTAGAGCATTCACCTTGAACTGAAGAGCTCAGGGATAGCACCTAGGCCCAGAGTTCAAGCCCCATGACCGACAAAAAAACACACACACACACACACACACACACACACCAAAAAACAAAAACAGCCTTTAAGCACAAGAGGACCAGTATTTAAAAAGTAATGAAGAGATAAGGAAAAAGTGGGGGAATAGAAAAGAGGAAGACAATGGAAAGATAGAAAGTACTAGGGAAAAAAAAAAGGAAAATTTTAATGTTAATCTGTTGAGTATGCAACTACTCAAATGGTTCAAAAATTTTAAGAATCAAAAGCATAACAGTTACTTTCCTATTTGTGTCCTTTCTATACAATTCCTTTCCTCAGACTTGCAAATAATCTTAAGTCATTTCATAGGTATATATAGATATATATAGATATATCAATGGAATGAATCTGAAGCAATAGCACTACTTAAATCTTTGTAATTTATAGGATCAGAAATGATTATAGTTTTTACAACTGGTAATACAGAATATATTTGAATTTGTATAATTTCATGCTGCTATAACCGAATTCTATTTTATATAATAAAGCTGATCAAACAATCATTAATAAATATATTTATTAAAATATATTTTCGGGCTGGGAAGGTGGCTCAGTGGTAGAGCACTTGCCTTGCATGCTCCAGGCCCTGGGTTCGATTCCTCAGCACAACATAAGCAGGAAAAAAAAAAGCCAGAAGTGGCGCTGTGGCTCAAGTGGTAGAGTGCTAGCCTTGAGCTTTAGAGCTGAGGGACAGTGCCCAGGCCCAGAGTTCAGGACCCACGACCTGACCCAAAAATCTCTTGTAGAGATTAAAAACAGAAGTTAAACCAAAAAAACAAAAAAACAAAAAACCCACTAAGAGATCGTTTGACTGTACATAAATTTAAAAAGATTAAAAAGAGGCATTTTTGGAACATTTGGGAAAATTTGAAAATGGTCTCACTGTTTAAATATTAATATTAAATTTGGTGGGATATGATATGATATTTTAGTTACTGAAGAAAGCAACTTGTTCATTGGTGATACTGCTGATGCTTTGAGTTAAGGTATAGTGGTATCTGCAACTTTCAAGTCATTTTTAAAGGGCAGTAGATACAACAATTTAAAAAATAGGCCAATTTGTTATCAACTTTGAAATACAGATAAGGAAGATACAGACATTCAGTATATCATACTTTCAACTTTTCTGCAGATTTAAAAGTTTAAAAAAATGCTAAGCAAAACCTTTTTATTATAGCAATAAGAATTGAGAGGGGGCTGGGAAGGTGGCTCAATGGTAGAGCGCTTGCCTTGTATGCATGGGCCCTGGGTTCAATTCCTCAGCACCACATAAGCAGAAAAAAAAAGCCGGAAGTGGTGCTATGGCTCTTGAGCTGAATAGCTGAGGGACAGCGCCCAGGCCCAGAGTTCAGGCCCCACGACTGGGGACCCCCCCCAAAAAAAATAATTGAGAGGAGGCAGGTTAAGAAAGAGTGACAAAAATGAGGTGAGTCTGATCAAAGTACATTATATGCATGTATGTAAATATCACAAAGAAACCCCTTTCTAACAATGAATCTATGCTAAAAATGATAACAATAAGGAATAAAATTCTATCACAAAGTGTGATCACATGATATGTAGTTTAAAATTTATTTAAACCTATCAAAAAGTACCCTAGAACTCTTAAATCATGAAAGGAAAGTCACTTCTACCGGCACGCATGTTTCCGGCAAGCATGTTTCATTTGTTGAAATATCACCAGAAGCACTGGTGGTAGCAGGAGCTTGCTTCTTTGTTTCCCGGTCACCCAGCATGACAGCAATGGTCTCAGCAAGAGCTTCATTCACAAAATGGCTAATCATGTCTGAATTCACCGGAACACCCGCATCAACAAAGAGCTGAAGAGCACTGCCACTTGTTCCTTCCACTAAAAAGTGAAAGATTTTTCAACATAAGTGGGCAAGAAACGTAGGTACAACCTAAATCTTGATTCTTCAACTTTTAGAGTCCCCAATATGTGTGATTGTGCCAATATATGTGAGGATGGAAGAAGGAATAAAAGTGAAAATACAAACATGACAAAGACAAAGGTAAGTATTCATATTCTATCTCCACAAGCCAAAAGAGGGAGGAAAACATACAAATAAATTGCCTTTTTCCCACCACTAAAGAACTAAATAAATGTGGCTCACACCTGTAATCCTAGCTATCCAGAAGGCTGAGATCTGAGAATCACAGTTTAAGACAAGCCTGGGCAAGAAAGTAGTGAGATTCTTAACTAAAAGCACAAAGGAAGAGCTGATTTAGACAGAAAAAGGAAATCGATTTTGGCTATGTCAAAGGTAGGATGCCAGTAGAGCATCAAGTAGAATAGCAAACAGGTTTGGGTATAATGGCACGACTATTATCCTATCTTTTTTAGCAGTGGAGATTAGGGGTAAAAGGGGTTGGTTCATAGCTCAGTAGTAGAGGACCTGCCTAAGCAAGCATGAAGCCCTGAGTTTAAACCCCAGTACCACTCACACATACACACACAAAAGAAGTTCATTTAATTATTCGGTGAAGATGTTCTTAATAGGTATCAGTGAAGGGCAGGGCAGTAAAGAAGAAACATCTTTAATTGAGTAATTTATAGTCTAGTGAGTAAGAAAGACATATAAATCAACTATAGTCTAGTAATTATTATAACAAATTCATTAAATTATATGCATAAATATATATATACTTATACATATTTACTATGATAGAAAAATAGAGAGTTTGGAGTATAGGGATGAGGGAAACACCTTAATGTAAAAGCTGCAGTATGGAATAAAGGGAAGAAGGAACCTGTGGTAAATATAAACCCACAATGAACTAAAGGTTTTAACTTTTGATAACAAAAGAAAGAAAATATTCCATCTCACTTACCAATGTCAGAAGTCAATGATTCACTTGCTTCACTAACTGAATCACTGTCATTAGGCCTGGCCTGATGCTGGATTGGAAAGAGTCTAGAGATAATTCTTGACATTATTTCTTGTTCTACCCTGGGGGAATAAAAGAACTCCTAAGTTTGGTTGAAGTACAGAACATGTTACCCACATCATCCTTAAACATAACCTGTTCCCATGGTATAAACATTTACATATGGAAGCAGTCATCTGAAAAGTACATCTGGAAAGAAAAAAATGTATTTTCCAACAAGAAAAACCACATGAAACAGAATAAAAAACTCTTTCATATTAGTTTAATGAAAAGTTTAATGGAATGCCTAAATTTATGATAAGATTTGGCCAACGATTATCTGGCATATCTTGTGCCTCCAAGGTTTGATTCACATTGTGAGAGCTAATTTGTAAGATAATAACAAAGCAAAGCTAGAAGACAGTCTAGCTGCCTACTCTGCAGGGAAATAAATATGTAGATGGTAATACAAAGTAATATTCTCCCTAAAAGAAAGAAAATCTTTTTTCCAAATCATTTTCAGGAAAGGGAAGAGAAAAAGGAAAGGATAAAGAAAGACTTCTTTTGTTACATTTCTTTAGAACAGCTGAGACGCTTTAAAAATTATTATACAAGGGCTGGGAAGGTGGCTCAGTGGTAGAGCGCTTGCCTTGTATGCATGAGGCCCTGGGTTCAATGCCCCAGCACCACATAAGCAAAAGAGAAAAAAAGCTGGAAGTGGTGCTGTGGCTCAAGTGGTAGAGCACTAGCCTTGAGCTGAAGAGCTGAAGGACAGTGCCCAGGCCCAGAGTTCAGGCCCCATGACTGGACCCCCCACCCCAAAATAATTATTATACAAATGGTAGAAGTTGATTATAGCATATTTAGAGAATATATAAAAGTTTTTTTTATAAGTTTGAGAATGCTCACCATAATCCTTGATTCAAGGATAAATGTGGTTAGCAACTTGTTTTTATTCTGTGCATATTTATTTTTCAGGTCTTATATAGCTGTGCACTAGTATTTTTCAGTATCATCCAATATTCTTCTAAACCTAAGTTTAATGGCTCAATGAACAGTTCTTTAGTGTATAACAAACATTTCTTTTTTTCTTTTCTTTTTTTTTTTTGTCCGTCTGGGCTTGAACTCTGGGCCTGGGCGCTGTCCTTGAGCTCTTCAGCTCAAGGTGAGCACTCTACCACTTGAACCACAGCACCATTTTTGGTTTTCTGGTGGTATAGTGAAGATAAGATTTCACTGACTTTCCTGCCCAGGCTGGCTTTGAATCACAATCCTCAGATCTCAGCCTCCTGAGTAGCTAGGATTGTAGGTGTGAGCCACCGGTGTCCGGCTATATTTCATAATCTGGGCATGATAGTATACTATTAGAATTCTAGCTACTTAGGAGGGTGAGGTAGGAGGATCTCAAGTTCAAGTTCAAGGCCAGGTTAAACAACACAAATACCTTGTCTCAAAAAAACAAAAATAATCACTCCTGGGGCTGGGAAGATGGCTCAGTGGTACAGTGCTTGCCTTGCATGCATGAGGCCCTGGGTTCGATTCCCCAGCACCACATAAGCAAAAAGAAAAAAGCCGGAAGTGGCTCTGTG